TTTATAGTCCAAAATAACATGTTATTTTTGGAGAGTTTTCATCCGAGTAAAATGGTTAACGCTCGTTGTCTGTTGCTTTGTGAAATCTTTGCGTCGTAGAACTCGGGAGGTTGAGGCGTGTTGGTTGCGGGCATTGCGGCACCGTAAGAGGCGTGAAGCACAAGGGGTCCTCAGGTGCTTGGAGAAACGGTTGGACGAGGGTTTCTATCGAGCCTAAAAATGGGCTACTGTTAAGCCTGATGGGTTGTAACTATTCATTGGGCCTGTAAATAATAATAAAATGTTTGTTAATAATATATATAACATATACAAAGAAAAAATAATATATATATACATGCTTTTAATTTGGTAAAAAAAAGGGTGTTTACACCTAGGTTTAATGCTACGACTCTTATCTTGGTCCCTAAAGTTTCAAATCCCATCCATATAAAATATTTACGACCTATTTCTTGGTATAATGTTATTTTTAAGTGTATTATTCGAGTTATTATTAACAGACTGAAGCCTTATCTATTTAAGGTTATTTCTTGTAGTTAGAGTGCTTTTGTCATTGACAGAGATATCATGGACAATACCTTGATGGCTCAGGAATTGGTTAGTGGCTATAATTGTTCTTCGCTTTCTCCTAGGTGTGTCTTGAAGTTGGATTTACAGAAGACTTTTGACTCAGTTGATTGAGATTTTGTGTTGAAGGTTTTGGAGGCTCTCTGTATGCCTGTATTTATGATTTATTGGATTAGGGAGTGTATTACCACCCTAAGTATTTTATTTCTTTAAATGGGGATTTGGTTGAATATTTTCGTGGGGCTAAAGAAGTGAGGCAAGGGGACTCATTGTCCCCTTTCCTTTTTGTTTTGACCATGAATGCCCTCTCAAAGTTATAGGATAGGGTTGCGAGCTGTGATGTTTTTTTTCTTATCATCCTAAATGCCATAGGATCCATCATGTGAATTTTTGCTTTACGGATGATCTTATGATTTTCATGAGGGGCTCATTTGATTATATTTTAAGGGTTTTTAAAAGCTTTACTGGTTTTCTGGTTGTTTTCTGGGTTGCAGGTTAATCCTTCTAAGTCTGAGATTTTCTCTGTTGGTGTGGAGGAATCGGTTTTGAATTTAGCTGTGGATTGTACCGGGATTCAAAGGGGAAAATTGTCTGTTCGCTACTTGGGGATCCTCTTTATCACGAGAAAACTCACTGTGAATGGTTGTAAGCCACTGTTGCATAAGATAAGGCTTAAATATACAAAATGTGCCTAACGTATACCCGTTTTTCCAGTTCAGTGCCTAATGTTTTTTTCGTTTCAGTTTGGCACCTAACGTTTCATTCCGTTACTCAAAATGAGTCACGTCGTGACGGACTGTTAGTTTTCTCTGTTAAGTGACACGTGTCACAATCTGATAATTTTAAAATTTTATTTAAAATTTAAAAAATAAAATTATTTATTTTAAAAAAAGAAAACATAATTTTTTTAAATAACCCCAAAACTTTGAAAACCTTCATTTCAGCCTATTAACCCCGTCACTGAACCACCCTTCTTCGACAGGTGGTGGTGTACACTAGAGGTGTAAACGAGTCGAGCCAAGCTCGAGTATTGCCAAGCTCGACTCGAACTCGAAAGATAATATTGAAACTCGACTCGAACTCGAAAAGGCTCGAAGGCAAAAAAAATTCAAGAGCTCGACTGAAGCTCGAGACTCGAAGTCAATTGAAGCTCAATTATGAGCTCGATTCAAGCTCGATTGTGAGCTCGATTCAAGCTCGATTGTGAGCTCGATTCAAGCTCGATTGTGAGCTCGATTCAATCTCGATTCAAGCTCGATTGTCAGCTCAATTCAAGCTTGAATTAAGCTCAATTCAAGCTCGACTTAAGCTCGAGGATGAGTTAATGTTTTTTGCTGAAACCCATCCCCTTTTATACATTCGACTTACCCCTTATTCTCCAAGAACCACCGATGTGGGATATCAACTCACATAGGACAGTGTATTTCAAACATATATATTTCAATATTCTACATGGCAACAACAGCAATAGCAAATCTCTGGAGCTCTCCACCTGATAAATCCCCAACATTACGGTCTATTACCTGATTTAGTTCAAGATCAGCACAGAGCTCTCCACCATTGTTTCCGGTTCAACTTTCAACTCTTTCACTGAATTTTTTGTTTCGGGTTTTGCATTGAAATACATTGAGTGAGAGCTAAAACAAAATTTATCTGAGCAAGAATCCTTTCATAACAGAGAAGAAATACTTATGATTTATGATTTGAAGTTGTTGCATTTTGACAAGTGAAAATGGAATGATTTGTTTAATCATTTTATTAGGATTCTCATGTATAGTTTATGTTCTGGTATTCCTCTCGGCGGAAAACATCAGGACCCTTGAATTCTGGAACTCAGGCGAAGCAGAAAAATCCAGTTGCAAATGATCCTGCAGTTGCTAAGGACACTATGGTATTTTTATTTTTATGATTATGCTCATGGATCGAATACAGTCTAGTATTCCAGTAATTGTCTTACTTCCTTTTCACTGTGGATGCATCTACATACACACACACACACTCCCTTGAATTTTGGAAGTCAGGCGAAGCAGAAAAATCCAGTTGCAAATGATCCTGCAGTTTCCAAAGACACTATGGTATTTTTATTTTTATTTTTATGATTACATGGATCGAGTACAGTCTAGCATTCCAGTTACTGTCTTACTTCCTTTTCATTGAGGATGCATCTACATACACACACTCCTATGAAGTAGTCCTATTTACATTTGATAGTACCAATGTTATATCACATTTGATTCCTTTTATTTGAGTTCTAATTTGAATTTTACTTGCACCAAGTATATGGGGCTGAAAGGTGGATCCTCTTCAAGGCATGCTGCAGCTTCTAGCAGCCGTGAAGCTTTTGGTGGTAGTGAGGTTGACCCCCAACGTTCTCGTACAACTGATGCTAGCCATGGAGACTCTAGGCGGGCATCATCTGGGAGAAACACCTCTCATGCCAAGAACTACGAAGTTGCCCTCAAGGGTATGGAGGGCCTGCAATTCGAAAGCGACAATAGAGTTCATTATTAAATGCTCTGCTATATGAACTGTTTTAAACTCAGAAACAGAGTATGTGTCGTTGGCGGTGACATGGTTATACCCAAAGCCATCAAATTTCTCCACTGATGGAAAAAGCTGGTGACTAAAGCCTGTGAAGTAAAATGAGTGGGTATGACTTATTTTCCTAACAGTATAAACTCACTGTTCTTGGGTTTTCATTATCATATATGATTATGATTTTCTCAGTCATCTAGGACTTCTTCTCGACTTTTGAAACTCTATGGCATTGTAAATTGCTTATTGTATCCATGTCACCTTGTTCACTCATTTCTTTTTAATAAAATAGTGGGCCACTTTGCTTTATTTTTGCTTGTCAAGTCTTCCTATAAGTCACATAAAGTAAAAGAAATTGCTCCCTTCTGAACCTCAGTTTTTAAGTAATTTGATGTGGTATGATGTTACATATGTTTCCTTTTTTTAATCAATGAGATTTTTTCTTCTTCGTTACCTAGCGAAGAAAATATTTTAGCTTAAACCGAATAGGATCAATTGCATATAAAACCCTATAGTTTATGCGCATTTTATATTTAAGTCATTTGTTTGATTCCAATTTTATATATTTATTTTAGTCCTTGTTTAGGAAAAATTACTAGTGAATGCAAATGGGTAAAGTGGAGAAGACCGACGAGAGGGCATTGGATTCTAAATACCGATGGAGCGTGTAAAACGAGAGGGCTGATAAGGGACGAAAACGAGAAATGGATACACGACTCCGTGATTAACATCGGCAGAACAACGAGTGAAATGGCTGAAATTTGGGAAATCATGGAAGGAATGATCCTTGTTAATTCGATGGGGGCGAGAAATCTGATTATTGAAACGGACGCGAAATGGGTCATTGAAACCCTGCAAAAGGAAGAGTCGGAAGACATGCACAGAGAAATTATCATTAGTGGGAAAGGTTCATGTTTGGGTAGTGGGAAAGTAAAGGAAAGTATGGGAAAATGAAAGGAAAAGAAAAGGATTAATGGGTTGAAATGAAGGTTTTCAAAGTTTTATGATTATTTTAAAATTTTTTTAAATATATAATTTTTTTAATTTTAAATAAAATTTTAAAATTACCAGATTGTGACATGTGTCATTTAACGGAAAAAACTAACGGTCCGTCACGGCGTGACCCATTTTGAGTAACGAAATGAAACGTTAGACACCAAACTGAAATGAAAAAAATTACTCACTGAACTGAAAAAACGGACATACTTTGACACCTTTTGTATATTTAAGCCATAATTATAAGGCGGCTTCAAGGGTGGTATGCTAGGCAGCTATCTTATGCTGGTAGGTGGCAGTTGATCCAATCTGTTATTTTTAGCATCCAACAATTTTGGAGTAGGCAGCTTGTTCTGCCGAGTGCTGTTATTAAAGGATAAATCAGCTATGTTCCAAATTCTTTTCGAAGGGTGAGGTTAAGGCTGCAAAGGGTGCTAGAGTTAGTTGGTCTCGGATTTGCACCCCGAAGTCTGAGGGTGGTCTTGGGTTTAAAGACTTGGGGGATTGGAATGTAGTGTGCTCCTTGCTTTTGATTCGGAAGGTGCTGCTTAAGGAGGGATCTTTGTGGGTTGCCTGGATCCATGAGTACGTGCTTAAGGGGGGTCTTTTTTGGCTGGTCTCGATTCCTCAGTGTTGTAGCTGGACCTGGAGGAGTTTATTGAAATTGCTGGATAGGGTTTTCTTGATTCAGGGGTTGGACCTTCCTGCTGCTCCTTTGAATTCTATTTCTGAAATTTGGGAGATGGTTCGTGTAAGGCGAGTTAAGGTGGTCTGGGATAAGGTAATTTGGCACTCGGGGCACATCCCGTGGCATGTCGGTTCTTGATAATCTCCCTACTAAAAGTAGGCTTTTGTCCTTTGTAATGGCCATTGAGGGTGGTTGAGTTTTTTGTAAGAGAGAATTAAAAACTAGAGATCACTTTTTTTTTATTGTGATTTCTCTAAGGAAGTCTGGATGAATATTTTGCGTGCTTGTTTCATTTATAGGTCTATTCGGGGTGGTCTTTTGAGCTTGAGTGGATGTGTAGCAAGCCACGTAAGAAATCTCTTTTGGCTATGGTTCTTAAGTTGGCCTAGAATGGTTGTATCTATTTTTTGTGGCGGGAGAGGAATCGTTGGTTATTTCAGCAGGTTGAGTTGAATCTACGGTGCAGCATGTGACTCGACAGGTTCGAGATTGCGTCAAGCTTAGGCTTGCGGGGAAGATCAAGGCTAGTCAATGGCAGATTTATGAAGACTTATGTGTGAGTTGGGAGCTCTTTTTATAGGTTTTTGTTCATTTTTTTTTGTACAGCAGCTTTGCAGTTCCTGTCTAATTATTGTTTGTTTGTGGGTTGGAATATATTGAGCATATTTATCGGAAATATTCTTAAATTGTGTTTTCGAAATAACGATTTTACCCCACTATTTCGTCTATAAATAGCGAGTGCAGCAGTCTATTTTTTTAACAAATTCTAGTAGACCCGAACAAAGGTTCTCAATTTAGAAGATACCCTAGTAAGATTTTGATTCTGTACTCACATATATATTTAAACCAGAAATACATAAAAAAATTCAGATATAGATAATGGAAATGCAATTGTTCTCATCCATTTGCAGTTGGTTTTGTTTTGATAATGGAACATTTTCGTGAATCAAATCCAAATTCCTTTCACGTTCTATGAAGATCATTAAGTTGAGATGCCGGACAGTGGCATTAAAATGGCTAAGAAGAGGGTCAATGTGGTTTGCTTCTGTTTGCAGGGACTCATTGAAGGGTGAGGATATCATTTATATAATATGACAAAAGCCCATTGCTTATCTAACATCGATGTAACATAAATAAAGGAGACTTGAGAGAAGTTAGAGTTCTGAGTGTGAAAAATAGTTAGAGAAATGGTAAGATGTTCCCTCTGTCTCGTCGTTTATCAAAAGCAAAGGCGATCCTTTCTTATTTGTCAAATGAATATGATGATGATTTCTGATGCTAAAATCAATCCAGAATCGTCCGATTCTTCTGCTACAAAATGCAATAGGAAAGCGGCGCTGCTGCCTAGTGTGCCTTGTCCCTGTCATCAATGGCTCCAGGTATTTTTGCAAGTCCGAAAGTCTTCTTTTTGTATTCTTGCAATTTGTATTAATGCGATATTGCAACTGTTGTATATTATAAGTTAAAAATTAAATTACTTAAGATATTTTATTAATTTCTATTAATTTCTGAAGTGATGCAGGCGGCTAGTAAATATGGTTGTTGGGATGCTTGTCGTTTTTTGATGGATTGAGATTATGCTTATCCGATGGATTTCGCTGTTACTACTATTATTATTTAAATCCCACTTGGCTACTCGATGTACTATTACAAATCCTTACAACAAAAACATCTCTCCATCTATAACTGTCTGCTTGGTTCCTTTCTGCAGCAAAACAGCAGCTGTGGTTGCCTTGTAGGATTTGTGATTCAAAAGATCAAAAAATGCCACTGATAAGAAGCTCATCAACAGCAATCTTAAACTCATGGTTACCCAACTCGAAAGACTGTTCATCACTTGACCCAAACTTTCAGGCTCTCCAAAGAACTAGATCAGTCTCCTTTAGTGCTCCATCATCTTCCATTGATGATCGTAAACATAAACTCAGTATCCCAAAACCAAGAAAAAAGGAGGGCAAACCCATGATGCCAACACCTCACTCTCTTGAGGTTGACAACCAAGCAGGGCACGAAAGTGATGATCAAGAAGAAGATTCAGAACCCGAGTCTTGTTTGATCCAAAGACTATTTTCAACCTCTGGGTTAGGTGAAAGAGTAGTTGATGACGGTGAAGGTAATGAGGATGGTAATGTACAAGGAAATGATGGTGGTAAATTCAGCGGATGTGGTGGCTCAGGGTTTTTTGAGAGCAATACTCATGGGAGGGATACTGATGGCACTGATGTTTACTACCAGAAAATGATTGAAGCAAATCCTGGCAATCCGCTTTTGCTCGGGAATTATGCCAAGTATTTGAAGGAGGTAAGTGACTGATTCTTGGGAAAGATAATTTACAGGAACAGCTCCATCTGCCTGAATTTTCCACTTTCTTTTATTACATTGATTTATGTGTTGTTTGGTAGCAGATTAGAGGGGATTTTGCCAGAGCAGAGGAGTACTGTGGGCGAGCGATTTTGGCAAATCCCTACGATGGAAGTATTTTGTCTCTGTATGCCGATCTAATTTGGAAAAATCAAAAGGATGCTCATAGAGCAAAAAGTTATTTTGATCAAGCTGTCAATACTTCCCCAGATGACTGGTAAAATACCCCAGATGACCAATTATATGCTTTTATCAAACTGATATTTTGGCTGAAATTTTAGCATTTTCAAAGCTCTTGATGGAATCTTTGAATTGATTCAATTTCCTATAAACTTGTAAAATCAAGTTATAAAACGACACTTGATGAAGTTGATCTATAGCAGTTGTATGCTTCCATTGTTGACACTCAATGTATGATCTTCAATTGTAACTGCAGCTTTGTCCTGGCTTCTTACGCAAAATTTCTTTGGGATGCGGAAGTAGAAGAAGAAGAAGAGGATGGCGAGAGTAGAGAAGCAGCTGAGCGTGAGCATATCCATATGCATCCTCCAGGTTTCAACCTTCGGCCTCCTCAGCACCCTTCCATAACTGCAGCTTCATAACGTATATGTATCAGTGTACGTACAGCAGCTTCGACTTAGCAATAGTTGGTCATCCTATGCTACTCTCGGGTTCGAGTGTCACGATATGTGGAAGACATTCGAAGCATCTCGATATCCATATGTCGGACCATGAGCATTATAGAGATAACTAGTAGATGACAACATCTTCCGTTTTCCTCACTCATTGCATCTTGTAACAATACTTGTGCCTACGAATAAAATACCAGTTTAACACATAATTTTACCATCTCAGTTGCTTTTAAGCTTCGATTATTTGATCTATCATTTCTTGGTTCAAACTGGAAATTTTACTACTCTCAACACAAAGGCACTAAAAGACAATAGATTGTGCAATAGCAAGGGATGGACCGGAGTGGGACAGTCACTCCCAAATGATATCTGGGATAACAACCAATAAAGGAAAGATAGGAGGGTATGGAACGCGGGCCTAGAAAGCTCTTCTTTTAAGAGACGTTCTTGTCTTGCTTGTAGCTTGGAAATTATAAAATTATGAAAATAAATTTTATTTTTCTAATAATATAGAAATAATACTTTTTTATTATTAATATTAACATATAAATGATTTTGAATTTATAAATTTATCTCGTTGTACTTGAGGCTTAATGAAAAAAATAAGTTTTTAAATTATGTTATTTATTGCAGGTGTTTAAAGTGTTTTTCGTTCAAAGTAAATATCTATTTTTGACGTTATTCTTTTAAGTGCATACGTTGTCGTGGTCGTTAAGAAAATATTATCTAACACGTTTCATGTTTATACTTTTTAAAAAAATATATATTGGAAAAAATAAAAGTAATTTATTTTAAAAAAAACTTAAAATTTCTCTAAAATACTAAAAAAACACTCCAAAACCTCGAAAACTTACAATTTCAATCTCCTTGTTGTGTCGTGGCCATCTCCAACCGACGATTTCATCATTGGCGGATCAAAAAATATTTTTAAAGGTAGACACATATATGTTAACAATATAAAATTTTTGAATGAGATGAGCATAAATAAAATTTCAGGATGGAAACCATCATCAAAATGGGTCACTAATCGAATAAAATTCAGATTTCAGGGTGAGCACCATCAATAAAATATGTGACTAATCGAAGAAAATCTGGATTTCAGGGTGGACACGTGCCTACCTCAACCATGAGTGCACCTGCCACTGACTTCCATCATCGAACTGCCACCCATTCATCATCGATCACCCAATGATCCACCATCATCCCAGTCTCCATCCTTAAATCCCTAAATCCCATATCAATGAAAGAAAGGCTTCATACTCAATGTCTCTCCCACTTCTAATGGAGTAATCCATCCACTCTTAAAGTTCATCTAATATCTCTATCTATTAAAAATGATTTTTTTTTCAATTGTCATTGCAAAATAGACACTTAAAAGTATATACTTAGAAATAAATAAAATATATACTTTAGACATTTTTTTGTTAAAGTTTTTTTAATGAATATGAAGATTTTATTTTTTGAGATATGCTCGTGGTTGATTTCGTATCTGAGAAATATATTTCTAAAAAAAACCCTTCAGCATGTTGTATTCAACTTATTTTATAATGTCGAGGCCATGTACAACACTTTGGAAGTAAGTCTTTGATTGTGTTGCAATGCTTGTACTCATCTAAATTTTGGACTCATTTCATCTTTTTAGACATTTCACGCCACTTTTGTTTGTTGTGCAATTAGGGTTTATGCCAGCTAACAAGATTAGCTCCATGTGTTAGTCATACTTATCGTCATGTCTTATCCTGATCACCATGGGAAATTGTTTTTTTCAGTAACACTTTTACTTTTAAATTTCTCGCCTCTTGATACAATTAAAATTTTTTAAAATAAAGTGAGAGATTCGAATATTAATAAAACAATTTAATAATATTTTTTTATATTATTTTATTTAAATCAATCAATTAATAAATCATATATATATATAATTAAATGAGAAAAATTTCCTCACCTCCATGACTGATATGAGATTAGGTAGAAAATTAAAATGTCAACAATCTTTTCTAATGGAAATTGTCAAAACATTTCTTGTTGATTTGTAATGTTGAATATTTTAAGAATTTATTCATAATCATATGATATCAGTCGATTGAATAGTAATGCATATGTTAATTTAATAACCGTCCACTTCTCTATCTCCTCACAAGCTTTCATTTTTTTATTAAATTTAACTAATAATGAAACTTTGAATGTGAAACAGCTTAATACGAGTTAACTATAAATATTGCTATATGAAAACAAAGTAAACAAGGTTTATTTAAATTAGTTGAAAATAAATAATTAATTAATTAATTTTAATGATAAAAAATATATTTTTTTAAAAATCATCAAATTTAAACAATTTTGTCTATAAAATGTGTAACATTAATACTAAATATCAATCCATTATTTGAACTACAATATCAAAGGCCAGATGTTTATGGATAACACGGGTGGATGTTTATATTCTGTTGGAAAATGTGATAAATTGAAAACTTTGGAGCATATTTTCTAAGTATACAGATGAAGAATTGAATAATGAATTTACTGATTTATATTCTAATGCATAAGATATTTACAACAATATCTCATATGCTCAAAACAGTTGAGTGATGAATGAGAAATTGATGCTCAAAATAGGGTACATGTGAATTGTGTTGTGTAAGGAAAATGAGAAAACCAATATCCTATATTGGTGGAATATCAAGCAAGGAAATGATTTATACATACAAATCAACTTGTTAGTCATTGAATGACTTTTGTTGATATTGTACAAGGGTGTAAATTCAAGCTCGTCCAACCCATCGAGGTTAAGGATGCACTTATACGATGTGGGCAATGTGAATGTCTTGATAGGGTCCTATGAATATTTTGCCACTACGAATTAAATATTTTCCTTATTCCTTAATAAGTAAAGTTTATCTTTTTGGATATTTTGAATATACTATAAATAGCTAACCTACTAGGTTAAACACAGTTTAAAAACTCATTTTTTTTCTCTCTTGCTTTCGGTGATAGTCTCTAGCATGATTTGATTCGTGATCTCACAAGTTGTGTTACTGTGCGCTGATCATATCGTTGTTGTATCTTGGGAGAGAGATGACCAAGATATCTCGAGCACCAAAGAGTGGCCAAAAATATGTTTTAAGAAAACTAAGTAGTTGCAGGCCTCAACCAGATTCAAGTTCGATATTCAACTATTATTCGGGTTCTTTACTCTAAGCTGTTTATTCTACTTTATTAATAAAAATTCGATTTTTATTTTTATTTTATTTTCGTCTATTGTATAACATATTCTGCGACAAGATGCAGGTTCCTTCTAATGTTACTGATATTGGAAGAAGTATTGCTGCCCGGTTTATTAATCCTCCAACAGGATAATAAAGCTTTCATGGAAAAAAAATATAGGATTGATAAACTAAAGTTATGAGAAGAATTGACTTGGAGATTCTCAAACCTGACAAATGGGCTGAGCAACTGGGCTTCAATTAAACAACTTGATTTTTTATAAGATTGAAATTCATTTATCCAAAGAAACAGGCAACCTGCAATACAAAAGACAGGGAATCCACAACTAAAATGACCTTCACATCAAACAAAACCTAATATTTACAAGATCTAAGCAATCTATATTCTTCCTCCTAGCTTTGATTCTAACAATTCTTTTATAATATTTGCAATTTCCACAGCAGAACGGGTTTCACCCCTAAATAATCGAAAACTCCTTTCCTCCCAAATACAGTATATTTGAGCATTCCATGCAAGCTTCAAAATAAACACCAACAAGGACTTTATCCTTTAATCCAGCACAAGCCCACGCCAACTCGGAATCCCAATCAAGAACCGCATCAGAAAGCCACACAAATAAAGAATCTGACCCCAAACCTCACGGGACAACGAACAAGTAAAGAACAAATGATCTCTCGACTTAGGAGCACAACCACAAATTGGGCAGCAAGAATCAACCCCCAAGTTCTTTCTCAACAATCTGTCCCGAGTGTTGAGTTTGTCCAGAACAGCAAACCAGACAATAATAGCATGTTTCGGAACATGCATAGGAAACCAAATGAGTTTTTGCCAAGGAACAACATGGAACTTCGCCCTAGATCCAAGTAGCTTTGACATGATGCAAGCTTAGAGAATAGGCAAAGACATGAGCAGCCTCTACCTTGAGCTTAAACAACTTACGCAAGCACCAGCTGACATTGCTCTTACACTTAGCTTGCCAAAAATTGTCCCCTTTAAGGATATACGCACGAACCCAAGCCACCCAAAGCGAGCCTTCACCAGCAAGCAGGTCCCTAATAAGCTGCATAGCATACACCCTATTCTAACAAGATACATTCTTGAGACCCAAACCACCTTCAGACTTCAGAGAGCAAACCTGCTGCCAACCGACCTCAGCACCCCCAGCACTAGAATCTTGCCCATTCCAAAAGTACCTCATACACAGCTGATTGATTCCCTGATCACCGCCACGGGAAGAATTATTTGCCGACACCAACAGTTAGCAATACCCATCAACACCGATCTAATAAGTTGAAGCCTACTCGTGTAACTCAGCTTCCTATTTGCCCAAAGCCTAAATTTGTCCTTGATCTTGTCTAGCAGAGGCAAACATTCCTTTTCCGTAAGCGTAGGAGTCACGAGAGGAATTCCCAGGTAACGAACTGACAAGTTTCCAAGTTTGAAGCCAGAAACTCAGTGAATAACCTCCAACTGGGACGCAGGAATACCCGAAGAGAATAGCTCCCTTTTACAACATTTAACTTGGGTCCCGACATCAAATAAAGTCTATCCAACATGCACTGAACCCTAATGACCGAGTCCAAATTGCCCTTGCTGAACACCAATAAATCATCTGCAAAACTCAAGTGGGTGAGTCCAATCTTCCTGCATTTTGAAAAAAACTGAAACACTCCCGCAGAGGCAGCCAAATCAAGAACACGAGAAAGGACATTCATAGCTAGCACCCTTGAAATGACCTACTATGGCACCATTGAGCGAGATGGAAAAGTGAGAAGTCGTGAGACAAGCCCTAATCCACCTCTAAACACCTCAGGTAAACCCATAGCTTCTAAAACATTTAAGATGAAGTCCCAGCTCAGCGAGTCAAACGCCTTCTGCAAGTCAACTCTTAGAGCCACGCGGGGAGGAAGAGACTTTATGCCATAACCCCTAACCACTTCCTGGGCCAACAATGTGTTCTCCCTTCACAAAAGCCGTTTGATTAGCACAAATCATCCCAGGGAAATAGCAAGCTAACCTATCCACAAAAACCCGAGTAAAGGTTCTGTAAATCACAGAGCAACAGGAAATGGGGTGATAATCCTAGCCATATTCGAATTCAATGACTTAGGAATCAACACAATGGCCGTCGAGTTAAACGCAGAACGTATCGAGGAAGAAGCGAAAAAATACTTGATAGCCTCCACAAAATCAGCCCTGACTATGAACCAGGCCACCTTGAAAAAATAGGGAGTAAAACCACCTGGAACAGGAGCTTTGTCCTTCTCATGGCCAAAAACAGCAGCCCGAACCTCCTCTGTTGAGACCCCTCGAACCAAAGACTCGGTATTACGAAGAGAGGCCACATCACATCCTTGAACAGTGGAGTCACGAACACCAATCAGAGAGGAAAATAAATTACACAGCTCAGCAACCATAACATCAAAAGATTCAAGTTTGTTCCCTTGATCATCTCGAAGAGCCCGAATAGCATTCAACTTATGCCTAGCTGCAATAGCTGAATGGAAAATTTTGGTAGACTGATCCCCTTCTTGCAACCATTTGACCTTAGCCTTTTGTTTATAAAACTTAGTCTCCGCCTTCTCAATCTCATACAACTCATCAGACAAAACCCGCTTCTAAACAACATAAACATGTCCACTAGACAGATTTAACAACTGCAACTTCTCTAGTTGGACCTTCTTGGCCAACACCGTAGAGGAGATATCCTCAAAATGAGCCTTATTGAAACCCCTCAGACAGCCTTTAAGACTTTTCAGCTTCAAGAATAAAACATGAAGCAGACTTCTACTAAAGACAGGTTCCCTCCAAAAATCTCAACAGTATCCAAAAATGAGGGACGGTCAACCCAAAAATTGAAAAACTTGAACGGTTTGGGCCTGTAAACCTGACACTCCTTATCCAACCAAACAATAATATCATATTGTTCAAAATATTCTCAATTAATATGAGAATAAACATTCAATCATTTTGATATATGATGTGCTCAAATTCAAGATTTTTAGAGATAACAGTTATTTCTTTAATTATTGAAGTACTTAGTTAGTATAGATATGTAAATTAATAAGTACAATATTATTTGATAAGAATTTTTATATATATTCAAATTATCAGTAAAGTTGAAATCCCCACGGTAAAAAGTAAACTTCTAAACTTGTTAAATATTTCTAATTTATCTTTTTGGATATTCTGCAATGTAAAAACCCAGCATCAAGAGACGAAACGACGTTGGCTTTCAAGGCCAAGTGGCAACTTCTCATTGGTTTGTATTTCAAATCTGCCGTAACTTTATCACTGCCTCGTTGAATTGGCTTCTAAATGAAAAACCTACCAAAACCTCGAACTCTCAACGGTCGGTTTTCGCGAGTCAAATAAATCCTTTTTTAAGGGAAGAGAGAAGGATTGTTGGCTTTTGCTTTTGTCGTTTTTGCAGCTAAAGAAAATGGAGAGTAAGGAGGAAGTTATTTCTGTTGAGCTTCCAGCACCTGCTTCCTGGAAGAAGATGGTACTCTCCTTTCTTTAAAGCTTTTACTTTTTAATTAATTTGGTTTTGCTTGCTTGTTCCTTTGAATTTTGTTTCTTCCTTTAGTTTTTCATATAACCCCCCTCCAAAAAAAATTTGGGGTATTTTTGGTGTCATTTTGTGTTTTATAGGTATTTTACTGTAATTTTATTTGTATCTGGTGGAGATTTATAACATTAGGGTTGCTTTTTGAAGGTTTTACATTTTTGTTGGTGCTCCTAGTTGAATTTAGGGTTTATGTTGTTTTGGGGAAGTTTTATCTTTTCAACAACACCTAGCTTAAGTTGATCATTCATAATAAAGGACCATACACCAATCGGAAGTTCATACTAGTTCACTTCAGTCACCGGACCAGTTCGTATTTTCTTCTTCCGGCTGGGCGGAGAAACTGTTTATCTTCCGAGGGTCACATTTGCAAAGTGTTTTTCATATGATTTCTCGGAGAATATACCCATGCATCTATTTAATTTTATATTTTGTGCTTGTTGCAATTGGGGTTTGGATGTTCCCGAAACAAGAAGAGGAAAAGGAAGAGAGCTAGGGAGACCTTGCTCACTGCTGCAACTGGTGATGATGAATCTAGGTTGACAGCTAGTAAGATTCATGATACTCTGTCCCTGTGTGTTAGTTGCTTCGGAATTTTATTGCTGCGAATTGGAGAGACTTCATTGAACTTTTTCTATTGTGAGTTCTGTTAGTTGATTAGGCAAAGAACTGAGACTTTAGCAGTTTTATTAGAAAGGCTTCTGCCATTGCAAGTCAGATTGTGCATAGTGCAGCAATAATAACTGACTTGGAAGTTCTGAGAATTATTTGCAATAATAGCTTATGACACATTTTGATTTGCTCAAATTTCAGCGTTCATGTTATTGTTCATGATTGTTATCTTATTCGATTTGATGGCTGTTATGCTGCTTGTGTAACTTGTCTTTTTTTTTCCTGATGAATTTTACAGTTTTTCCCCAAGAAAGTTGATTCACCAAGGAAGACTGAGATCATGTTCATTGCACCAACTGGGGAGGAGATTAATAACAGGAAACAGTTGGAGCAGTATCTAAAATCACACCCTGGGAATCCTTCGATAGCGGAGTTTGATTGGGGTAGTGGTGAGACCCCCAGAAGATCAACGAGGATCAGTGAAAAGACCAAGGCTACTCCAACACCAGAGAAGGAACCCTCAAAGAAGCGTGGCCGAAAATCATCAAGTGCAAAGAAGGAACACAAGGAAACAGAGGCTGTTCCTGAAAAATCTGAGGGTGAGAAAGAAAGTGGAAAGGAAGGTGCACAAATCACTGAGAAGGAAACCTCGGAAAGTGAAAAAGGAAAATGTACTTTCACTGAAAATCAGGTTGACAATGGAGGTAAAACAGAAGTGACTGACCAGACTGGTCACACTGATGTCAAGATGGATGAAGTTGAGCAAGAAGTTGATAAAGATGTTCAAATACTGCAAACTGCAGAGGTTGACAAAAAAGAAGAGGCTGCTGGTGTCGAAGAAACCCCAACTCCAATTGCAGTTCAAGAGAAATCTGCAGAAGCTAGTTACACTGATGAAACTCAAACTGAAAAAGAAAAGAGGGAAGTCCCTATTGAAAAGGAACAACAAACTCAGGAAGAGAGAGAGAAGGATTCGCAAGTAAAACAATCAGAAACACCAGAAACTGTGACATTGGAAGGTAATGGAACAATACCTGTAACTGAGGGAGAGCCCAAGGAGAAGCAAGCTGTAGACGAGATTGTTGGCAAGTGTAATGCTGAGGTAGAGGAGAAAGGCGAGGCAGTAGTTGCCAAGGTGATTGAAAATGGTAATGTTAAACTAAATGAGCAAACTGATGCTCAACAAGCTCCGGTACCTGCTCCTGTAAGCTGCTAAATGTACCATCTGATTACTGACCTAGCCTGTTTGTACTGCACTCTTTATCTATTCGCCTGTGTAACCTCTACAATTCCGTGGATGACTGTAACATTAATGTTGGTGCTAGTTTCGATTGTACGTAGGGGAATAAATCCAACCTGTATCCTTGTAAGAAGTAGGTTTTGAACATCGCAGCTTTTTATTATCAAAAACTTAGATTGTAGGCACATGGAACTCTAAACTTTTGGTTAGATGCTCAAGTTTCAAAGGTATGACTTAAAAAAAGTGTTTTAAATTATACATTTTGTTGATTTAGGAGTTTAAAGTTTTCTTTTATCAAATATGAAAAATCACTCGCTCGATCATTGTTTCTACATGTAGTTTGATTTTTAATCTCTTTTAAATTTTTATTTAAAAATATAAAATTCTTAATGACTACTTTAATCTATAATTTATTACATAAGTGTGAAAAATCGGTCACTCAATCATTGTCTGACGTGTAGTTTGATTTTAAGTTTCTTTTTTAAAGAAAAATTAAAGGAAATTGAAAACCGATTACATGTATTCATTGGAAGAATAATTGTTCTCCTTCAGATGCAACCGCTTTGTTTTTGGTAGAGAACAAAGATGCTGCATTCCTAAAAACAGTGTTAGAGATGATGCTATCGCTTTGGCTAAAATGGGAACTACGGGCAACAGTTGTACTCAGCCTAATTGTTGAATATGTATCGATAAAACTTGGAAATGAGCGGAAATCTAGAGTCGAATATCGAAAGGTGGTATCCTTCTTGGTATGGAGGATTTACTTGTTTGCAGATTGGTTGACCAAGTGGCCTTGAGTACACTCCTTGGAACTTGAAAGGAAAGGAGCAAATGACCATCGACCAGTCCCCTGGTTGATTCTTGCTAGCATTTGCCTTCTTGGCATGCCATTCACCACGAGTGTGATTATTGGCATATCATTCACCAATTTCACGCTATTTGCCTTCTTGATCGTGGTTGGTAAACATGGATACTTAAAAGTTGCCATTAGCTTGGCCATTCTTCATCTTAGCTCGGACCCAGGAATCCTCTGGTTGCATTTCTTATGATGCATCTTGGTTTGTCTAACAAAATCCAAATGAAACCATCGTCTAAAAGGCTCGAGGATGTCAAATTTAAGCCTAGTTTTAACTGAGATAAGCTGCTTTTGCTTTACCCATTGCCTTTTTACTTGGCTTAAATTAGATATATCCTGCTTTGGATATTTTCAATTTTTCTTATTGTTTTTTTAGCTTAAGTTATATATTTTGATAAATTTACGTTTTAATTTTATTTTTATCACATAATTGTGCTTTGTGTCCAGTTCTGTAACTATTATCAGGTCCATGATATTGTTATACAAATAAAATCGAAGTAACACAATGAACAAAATTTTAAAGGATAGAAGGGAAAAAAAGAAGTCATAAGTGGCACCAAATGTAACACCCCAACCCGTACCCAACCTGAATACGAGTCTGAGGTGTCACATTGACTTTTCAAACCTTGACACTTAAAGAAAAACCCCGGGGAATTTAAAACTTGTTTAAAACAAAATACTTTAATTTACATAAAAGAGACCACAAAATACACACTTGATCAGAGTACTCATAATTAATGACCTATTACATGCCAACACTCTATACACAACAAAATACATACTTTGTCGATTACTTCTGATATGATCTTCTAGTAATAATACTGTCCTTGCTACTTCTATTCTTGCTCTTCACGTTTCTTGGTACCTACGTGTAAATCACTTACACGCTAAGTCATAGACTTAGTGAGGCAATAAATAAACATGTAACAGTAGATTCATGAATATGCATTCTTACTATTTGATCATGATATTTCAATATGCATGGATATATTTCCTATGACATATATAATCAAGTCATGCACACATGAAACTTACCTTTTTGCATCACTTTCACTTTAATTTATATTTCAATTACTGTTGTTGTTGCCCATGTATATTATTGAGAATAGAGGTAAGTGAGTACATTGAGGTTGTGCACCAATGCTGTCACCACAGCTCGTATAAATTCCCTCATGGGGCACCGAACATTTGTTCAGTATTCGTCCCGAAGGACTGCTATATATGTCCCGTAGGACCACTACGTCCCGAAGGACTACGTCCCGAAGGACTACGTCCCGAAGGACTACAATACCCTCGACTCTTGGCATGCCAACTATACCTATAGCTCTCGTATCATATACTATGGGCATTTATTATGAATATATTTCTCATCACTTGTTCTTTATCTTCTGTCACATACCACATGTATGTGTAACCATATATTTCATATCATATCACATATTGCATATTCATATGTCATTTCATATATTCACATAGCTTATTTCATTTCACATTGGTCATATCTCATAGCATATATCACATATGCATATAATCATGTATATCATATCATATATCTTATGTTTCATGCTCTTATGTTTATGCATATCATGTATTCATGTACATATAAGAGTCACATATCAAATAACATTTTAGGAGTCATTTCTTACCATAGTAACTCCATCATTGGCTCATCGCAAGCCAATGTTCGTTCAATAATATAAGTACAATTAAAATTGCACTCACCTTAGCCTTGCTTTGATTCGATTATAATCCTTTGATTATTCCGGAACTTGTTTAGGCTCAATATCTATATAAATATATCATTTCAAAATAACTATCAGAAGCCTAAACTTTAAACTTGATGTTAATAACTTAAATCGGTTTAATGAATCAAATTCCATTTTTTTCATTTAGGGGGAATCGATACCCCCCAGGGGGAATCTGTTCCCGTGGAATCGATACCCCCCAGGGGAGAATCTGTTCCCCCTGCACATACTGGAATTTTCGTCCAAGAGGGGGAATCGATTCCCTTCATAGGGTATCGGTTCCCTTTACCCAAAAATTGTATTTTAACCCCGAAAATCATCAATTCTTCACTTAATTCTTCTATTTTAAACCACTATCATGTCATTAAACTCAACTACCATTACTTAAACCAACTTATATCCATGAAAATCATCTATAACTTCAAAATCATATCCTTCATATGTAATTCAAGAATCATACTCAAATTTCAATATGTTCTAAATACAGTTCTAACACTTCTATCTTCTTATTCTCATAGATGACAAGTCAAATTCAACTTAAAATTCAACTTATCAACTCTATTCCATGATTTCATATAAAAACTCATTTTCTTAAATCTCTTATAACTTCTTCATCTTTTGATTATAAGACAACTTAAGCTTTCCTTAAGCTTAGTTATCATCTAATGATCAAAACCTAATCTTCAATTTAACAAATAACCAACAAATAGAAAACTCACCTTATGCTCTGCACGTTGGAGAAGAAGAAGGTAAGAAGAAGAAGAGTTTTCTAAATACTCTCCCCCAACGTTTATCTCTTCATAAAGGGATAACAAAATATCTTTCATGTTAAATGACTATTTTGCCCCTTAATTCCTTTGATAATTACTAATTATTTTCAGGAAATATTTCCGAACAAATCATTACACTATTCAAATATCTTACTTTAATCAACACATTTTGAAGTTTTACAATTTAGTCACTAACCCGTATTTTGGGATGTTACACCAAATGTCTACAATATTCCGTGTGTGATGTTCTCCTCCTCCAAAAGAGTAATACTGTTAGGCAGGCTGATATAACGGCTATCATCGTCAGTTCACAAATAGTTCCTGAGCAGCTTGGCACACCCTTCGATCCTAATATATACATATGGTTTTTAAATTTATAGAGTAATAATACCAAAACAAAATGTGAAGCTTAAAATAAAATAGTTGTCATATGGGGCGGGGCTATTAGATGATACTGGCGGCAGTGCGGGTGGCTATTGCGGTTGATTTACCGACAAATTCAACCCCTGACAGTCAGCTCCGAGGTAGCCTGGATGAAGAAATCCATAAATTTTAGACATTTAATCTTGGATATTGAGTTTAAAACAGAGTGGAGAAGTGGAAAGAAGACAACTTACATGGTTTAAAACAAGCAAGGCCGGAGGAATTAAACAAATTCTCAGAGCCTTGGTGGCACTGGCAGATATGTCCACAGTCCACTTCCATTACACATTCCCCATCACCACACCAAACAACATCTCTCTCTGTCCGAAACAAACCAATTTTTTCCTTCAATTGTAAAAAAATACATTAAAATAGAGTAATTGTGTAGATGCTTGATTTGTCCGGGGCCCATATATCACTTGCAAATGAAAACAATTTTGGGGGGTTAAAAACCAGGAAAAAACGTGGAGACCATTTGGATATTTTCTTCGAGGTGATAGAAACTGAAAGGAGCAATTTTTTTTACGTGGATGGTCAGTTTTAATGAAATAAACACTCATAAACAAAAAAGGAGGATTACATAGGGAGAAGGGGGTAAACGGAGGAAAAAGAAAAAGAAAGAGAGACAACAAGGGCATTATGATAGTAAGGAGAGACCATTTTTTTCTACAGACGACAGAACAAAAAATAGAAAACAAGTGTAAACAACATTTTCATATTACCAGATCAAACACTGTAAACGAAAAGAGGGGGAGCTTGTTGGTTATTTTTTCTACAGAGAAGAAAAAGCATTGTACAAGGGTAGATTTTTCCTTTTTAATTGAAAGTCAAAGGAAACGGTGGAACTCCATTTTTCATTGAATCAAAGCAACGCATAGCATCAAAAGGGTATTTGTTTTCAATTTCCATTTTCCATTGCTTTCATAATATTCTTGTGTGTGTCTATGTTTCAAATCAAAACCAAAACAGAAAAATAAAGGGAAAGTAGTAATGTTACCTTAGTAGTTGGGGTCGTATCGTCGGAGAGGGGAGACGCTTAAGAGATAATGAGGCCGAGAGGTCGAGATTTTTTTTTTTGAATCTGTTTTTAAAATTTCTAACGTGATTTAGACTCAAGATTGAAGGTTAGCAAGGTGAGATGAGGGTTGTAGGGAGTTCGGGGTTGTCAGTTTAGGTCACCGAATCGACGAATAGTGGTCTGTATGAAGAGTTTAGAAGTCTCGGTCGAGAGGGGTTTAGGAGAGAATTGTAGGCTCGGGTTCTTCAGGGGTTGTTTAGATCTTCTCTATATGTTTGGTGCTGGTCGGATAATGAGAGGGCCACCGGTTTATGGTGGCCATTGCGCTTGGTCGTTCGTTGAGTGGCGCTGTGCGTGGTCGAGAGAGAGACGAAGAGTGGAGATAAGGGAGGGGAGCTAGGCAGCATGTTCTGC